ATTGATTTCTGCTGAAAATAATTTTATTGGTGATTTATCTAAATGACAATGCTTACATTCATTATCTTGTGCCATTTCCATATCCATTTTTCTTTCTTTGCAAATATTACAAAATTTAAAACAATAAGACATTTGTTTAAATTCAAAACTACGAATACAATCCAAAAACTTTATCAAATTGTTGATTTTCATGAAGAGGTGGAGGATTTGGAATATCTTTTTCATCAATATTTAAAAGTTGTAGCTGTTTTTTTAATTTTGTATTGCAAATGACGCTTTCTGTTTGTTAAATTATTTTACTTTCTAAATTAGCTGGGTGTTCATATTGTATTCCCAGTTTCCTGCATCTCATATATACTTGATCAGCAAGAGGATCATACTGATTGTTAAAAGAACAGTTTGAACTTACAGTGAGCCTGTTTAGAATATTGTTTTGATCAGGTTTTTCATTTTCATCTAAGCCTCAGGAACCATAAATAGGATTGCTAAGTTGATGATCTAAAGATTTTGCTACTTTCTGGGATGCTATTTGAAATGCTCAGCAGTATAAATGTATTCATGATCATCTTTTGTTTGTGTTTTTTATACATCAATTTCATGTACTAATTCAGAGTCAGTTTTATGTAATTTCTTGCTTTTTGGGTTTGTAGCTGATTTTTTTGTGGTTAACTTTCTTTTCAAGTTTTTGCTTTTTGGTTGGTACTTTTTTTTCTTTTGGTCATGAAAATTAATTTGTAGTGGTGAAGTTGGTAAAGCCATATGTGTTGATTTATTTAAAGGCTTGAAATGTGCACCTGATAAAAGTATATCCACATCCGGTAGAGTAAAAATGTTTTGATCAGGTTTAAACTGATGCATAAAATATACAGGCGACTGCGGGAGCCAAATATTTATATTACATCCAAATAATGTGGCATCAGCTAGAATTTCACTATCCCACATACTTCCAAGTAACATGCCCTGTATATACCTACCAAAAGTCATGGTATTATCATGGGTTATCATAACTCTATCTGCCCATAAGATCCTATTTTGGACAATATGGGAGCATACAATATACCTATATGTATCACTCAGACTCAAGTATCCATTTATGATTAAACTTAGAGATTGAAAAAAAACAAAGTAAGAACATAATTAGCAGATTGTGAATTTGAATTTAAATTTTTTGTTTTGTTAACTTTTGAAAGCTTCTGTGAAGTTGGAGACTGCTGCTGAATAGAAATGTTATTGGGAATTTCACCTGCATTTGTCTGTGATCTACAGGAATAACCGTGATCACCTACGACAGTATAATCAACGTCATTATCACTGTTACTTGGTATGGGGAATTATGTATCAGATGAATAATAGTAGTCATGGTCAACCAGAGCACCGAATTTTACTACCTCTGCATATGACCTACGTTTCTCCCGAAAATTATTGCTTGCAGAGGGTTTTTCTGTGTTCCCATGGCTGGACGGAACTTTTACACTATAAATGTGATCATTCATTATGATATTATGACTTTTAAATGAAGTACCTGTAATTATTTTGGAAATTTGCTTTTGCTGTCACTGACAATGGAAAGATGAGGCAGACAATAAACATCACGTAAGATAGGTTAAAGGTTACTTTTTGGTCCAAACGTCGGTAATTTCCTTGGTACAATAAAATTTATATAAACTAAACAAGTTACCAAAATTTTTTTATTCTTGTTTTTGTAAACAAATAAAAATTCATGTCGTATTTAACATCGAATTTGTTCCGTTCTGTCCCGTTTTTTCAAGTGCGCGATTAAAACGAAAATCTGGCAGCCATTAAAATAAAATAATCGTACGAGATTTAACGAGAGTGACGAAACTTTTCAGATGGGTCATGTAGAGAGAGTTATCGTCCTTTATTCCTATCCGATGCTTCTACCATAAGTGCCAGCTGTTAGCTGGCATATTAGCATAACTTTAAATGTTCAAATAAAGTGTTGTTTAAAACAAAACAGAGGTATAAAAATTCAAATGATAATGAAACATTACCAATTTTACTGCACCTGTCCAGTAAACTTCAAACGTGTGTTGATATTTTGTAAGTTTCCAAAATTCTTCTTTTAGTTAGTTTCAATCGCAAATCCTTTCAAGCTGATGAATGTGCTTCGGTGAAGGAGTAGATCTTTGTAGAATTTCGTTGTTTTGAATTGTAAAAATTCAACTATATTTCTGAGAATTGTCTGCATAGTTATTGATTGTTTGTCTTTATGATACATGTTTTACACAATCATATTAGTTCAAATTTTAAATGTCATATAAAAGTACAAGAGGGATATGTTTTAAATAACTTTTCTGAGAAAGTAGGGCTGTTTTACGCGCTACCATTGGACTAGTATATAAACTCATTGAAAATTTTAACATTGATTGAATAAAAGTAGTGACAAAACATAATATACAGATGTTTAATACAATACTTATTTCAACAAAATCAGGTTTTTTTTCTTGAAGAAAGTTTTTGGTTTTTTTCTGATTATAAGCTCTTTCAACTTACCGTGGAAACCTTTTGATTTTGTTCCGAAGTTATTTTTATTTTTCATTTTCAATCGTCTGCCGTTTGAGATGATATTTGTTTGTTTATCCACACATCGAAAGGATTTTTGGCACATGATATCAGTAATTGTTTTACAATTGATCTTGCGTAACCGAACACTAATTCTTATCGGATTGATCTCCATACGATCTTTTTGTGTTGTTATCATTATTCCTCTGTAATCGTGAAAAATATCTTCAAACTTTTTGTTTCAAATTGTTTGTTCAATCTGGTTTTGCGGTCGATTTGACCGAAATGATCCAATGACATCTAATGGAATCTATTTCCCTTTTCAAATTTGACATAAGTGAGATGTCAAATTAACTCATACATGTACACCATTAGTCATCTAGAGAACAAAAAAGTTGCTCGATATGTAGTCAATTATTGGGGAATTGAGATCAAGGTAAAAGGTCAAAATCATGTTCTTAATTTTGAACTTTGATTGTTATCGTTATTCATCAGGAACGGTGACAGCTAAGAATAAATGGTGTCTGTTAAATAATGGGTAACGACATGGCGCGACTACGATATATTTGAGTCAAAGTGTGTCGGTGACTTTTTACAGGAGTTTTCTCCCCTTGTATATAAAACTTTTCCTGAACCCTTTATCTCGCCTGCGATTGCTGCTATCTGGTGAAATGTTGTCTGTAAAAAGTGAGTCCATTTATCAGTAAAATACAGAATAAAAAAAAATCTTTAGTTGTTATTTCCTGATCTTGAAGATCAGTTTCTGTCCAAGTTTCATAACAATTCATTAAGATTTACAAATTTAATCTTGTCAAACAATTTTAATCCCAGACTGTCTGTGCATGTTAACTGTAGAATACTAAGTCCATCTATCAGATAAATTATGGGTATGGGTGTTTGACAATGTTATTGATAATAAAAAACTTATAACCTTAGAATGAATCTGAAAGTTAACTGTATAATAGTCTTAATAAATCATATTAATAAAATACGGAAAAATGAAAATTAATATTTTAAAATTTGCTCTGGATACTGTCTTGTTGTTATAAACAAGCGTTTGTCCAAATATCATAAAATTTCATGAAGGTTTGACGAAGTTATTGATGTCTAAAAAAAAGATTTAACCGCAGACTGAAAATAACTGTTGACGACGCCGACGCCATCGACGGAATCTAAGATCGCTATGACATAAATATCGTAAGCTAAATTAATCGTACACCTCAACCATGCATGTGGAAGACCTTGGGTGTTTTGATTTGAGATCCATAACCTATTATTGTGAAATTAAGGTCAAGGTCAAATTGCCTCTCTAGATTTTTAACCTTTGCTATAACTTCATTCTAGTACATCATATAACCATTAGATCTTTTGGATTAGGTAAGTAGGCATATGACCTTGAGAAGTCATTCGGAAGTGAAATTATGAAAACCGGAAGAAGCCGTTTTTGATTGCATATAAAAATAGAAACTATATTTTTTTAGAATCAGTAAGAATAAAGCAGTCGTATGAGCCGAAAGGGATATTTTTCAAACCGGAAGTCGAAAAATTCTTTCTCTTTTCTCAAGAAAAAAGTATACAAAAACCCATATTCATTACTCAAATCATTGTAATGATAGCTATCATATGACACCAGAAGTTGCATTTTTTAGATCGGAAGTATCCAATTATCTCCCTTATTGCAACACAAAATGCATAGCAACCATATATCTCTGTAATCAGATAAAAGTAAGCTATCAGTTGGTACCGGAAGTGACTTATTTTTTACAGCGGATGTAGCTGATAATCTCCCTGATTTCAAGGAAAAGAAACTTCAAACTATATATATTTGGAATCTGCGAAAGACAAGTTATCTTCTGACACCGTTATTTTTTTAACGAAGGTAACGTTTTGAAATATGTAAGCATATCTGCTTAAAAAATCATTTAATCCTTTAGTGGCAACATTTGAGGTTGAAAGACCTTCATTTTGTTATCTAAACAGTTTGTTTTTCTTTCTTGTTTCATCCTCCGCTCTTTGATGTTGAGATTTTTTTGTTTCGCAGAATATGCGTGAGACGAGATATAACACAAAATAAGTAAACATTGAATAACAAAAATGCATGTTCTGTGAACAATTGATTTTAATTTGATATATTTTGTCTTTTCAGTTAAAAAAATGAAAATGCAAAATTATTATTTCAAATTAAAATTACGTTAATTCAATTCAATTCAAATCTTTATTGCCATTACACCATATATTTATAGCATGTGACACAACATTAAACTAATTAATGGTGTTAATGGAAAATCCTAATGTTAAAAACCTACACGTACATAGAAAAGAAATCTTATGTTATACATCGAGTGGCTCATAAAACTATACACCCTGAGAATTTCCTGATCTCCAATAAAACACATAGAAATAACATACATGTAGAATATCATAAAAATTTATATCATACAAATTAGAGATTTTGCTTTTATGTTTACCATCTTCAGATACTGATAGCTGATAGTAGACATGTATTCACCTAAGAAGTATGACTTGTTGATTAAACACCTCCGTCGGTATTCAGTATTAGGAACAGCTCATTATTCATGTGTTCCACCAAATTCACCTGCAAATGAGACTGATGTAAAAACATTTAAAGATTTTATTGAAAAATCTAAAAAACTGTTAGTTATAACAGGTGCTGGGGTATCAACAGAAAGTGGTCTTCCGGATTATAACACGAAAGGAGTCAAGTTTTATGCCGGTCTTCCATATGGCCCAGTCAAGCATCAAGACTTCATCGATCATGAAAAAACAAGGAGGGAATTCTGGGCATACCATTTTTTGGCTTGGCCTACGTTTTCATCTTTATTGCCTAATAGGACACACAAGATTTTGAGTGAATGGGAAAGAAAGGGGAAGCTTCATTGGTTGGTGACTCAAAATGTTGATGCTCTACACGCCAAAGCAGGAAGTAAACGTCTGACGGAACTACATGGAAGATTTTGCAGTGTGGAATGTTTAGACTGTAAAAATGTGATATCTAGACGAGAATTTCAAGAACTTATAAAGGAGGAGAATACTGATATCTCAGAGAAATATGTAAAACTCAATCAAGAACAGATTAATGGATTTAAAGTAAGTTACGGTTTTTACAGTATTTCACTACGCGATCATTTCGTCATGACATCTCAGTCAGGTCATAAGAAAAGCTTTTTTTTACACCAAAAAGACGAAAAGATACATTTTACATTGCACATATTCTATGATATCAAATATAAATGGCGTAGTTTCATGTGTAGGCTTACAAATACATAGTACTACTAAATGACATGAATCAGGAAAAACGCAAAGTTCACAAAATTACTATATGAAATACAGAGTGAGTACATATTTAACATAGAACTAATAAATAGACATACAAACTGCCCCAGCATTTGAAAAATAAACTTTATTTTACTGAACCATTAGTTATATTTTTTGCAAGATATTGTGTTTTTGGTCTGAATAATATCCATTTTCTACAAATTACCTGAAACTGTACAGGCAATTTGTTGAATTTTGTTAAAATTTCAGTCATTTTACAAAATGGCTAGGTATTTTTAGTCTTTTTATATAATGCCTGTTAAGGTTACACATTTTAAAAATTCGGTCATTTATAAAATGTCTAAATCTAGAAATGCCTGTAACATTAAAATTGAATGAGATACACCGGTCGACCTGAAGTCATCGAACAATCGGTTCTTATTGTGACGTAGTAAAATAAGCATTGTGATATAGGAAATTTACCGGGAAGTGCACGAATTCGAAAATCTTTTATACATAAGTGTTATAAAATAATTGATTGACGTTTACAGTAGTGTGACGTTAACAAATGAAATGCAAGGGAGACGTCTAATGTCATTCCGAAAGACTCTTTAAAATGAAACAGAAATATTATTTAAGGGGGTACCTAATACTTTGACTAAAATAGATTTGGCTCGTTTAATTTTCATAAAATTTAAAAAAAAACATTTATTTTGACCTGTTGCCAAAAATATGAAAATTTCAAGAAATTTGAACTACACAATTTACAGGAATAATTTCATTGGATATATAGCATTTTGACAAACACCAATTTTGATCATTGAGAAGCTTGATTTATCTTTACTAATAGTATGTGATGAAAAAGTACAGCTGACTTTTAAAGCGTTAACTCCCTTATGTGTTCTGTACCCCCTTTAGTAAATTAAAATGTCATTTATCATTAAATACAGAGCTGAAAATGTTTATGAATAATTCTTCTTTCTCCTTTAGGAGAAAATTATTTTGACGATTGTTTAAGAACATCAGTTGTTCGACCTGCTAGTCAAATGCGTTTTGTTAAAATATACTTTTTCACTCATTTGGTCTTTTGGAAAATGTTGTTTGTGCTGTTTTTAGACCCCTCTACCAAGAAATTTATTTTGCATGCACACGTATAAAAATTACGGTTTTTATCCAACGCAATCATAGGTTTGAACGTTGTTTTCAATTTAGACTTGTTTATATTTTTTCGTTTGGGCTTGTATTATATTTGCCTTCGGGATAATATGATCCGTTCATCCTGTTTTGACTCTTTCAAAATTCAAGAGTCTATCCTAAATTGAGGTAAATTATATGGCAATCCAAATACCGTTTCGATTCCTTACATCACTGAAGAGACATTTATTGTCGAAATCCGGATATAGTGTACAATTTTTTGCGCCTCATGTTTGCGGTATACCATCTTTTCCGCAAGTTTATTGTTTTCTGTTTGGTAATAAATTGATAATAAGATCTATTTTGTTACATCTTGTGATCCGTTTATTTGGCAATCGCCAATGGCAGTCAGCAGGGTCTAAGAAAATCAGTTGTTCGACCTGCTAGTCATATACTTTTTCACTCATTTGGTCTTTTGGAAAATGTTGTTAGTGCTGTATTCAGACCCCTCTACCAAGAAATTTATTTTGTATAAACATTGCGGTTTTTATCCAACGCAATCATAGGTTTGAACGTTGTTTTCAATTTAGTCTTGTATATATATATATATATATATATATATAAAATGACTGAATAATAGCCAACGATAAATCTTACGGGGCGATGGATCATATAAATATGATACAGTACACTACAAAATATAATATATAACCAATCTAAAAGGGTACAACATCACCAAAAAATGACAATAAACGAACAAATGTAACTATAAATATTTCGGATAACAGATATCGTATAGAATTCAAGATTGCTATAGTTTAATAATCAGAATAGATTGATCTGATTCATTTTTCTTCGTGCTCATACTGATGAAGGATATCTGTTATCCGAAATATTTATATACATCCCAAAATGAGTGAAAAATAAAACTAAGTATTTTTTATTGATGCCGTTTGGATGATGTACATTTAATTCCTTTATCCAAAAGCTTTCCCGAACCTGTCGCTGGGCATCACTCCAGTGAATGTTCTGTTCGATCACTAGGATCTTCATGCGGTTAAAGTCATCACGTTTGTGACCAGACTGTCTGAAATGCTGAGAAACTGGGAGAAGTGGCTTCTTAGAGATATCACTCCTATGGCCATTGAGGCGTTTGTGGAAAGGCTGCTTTGACTCACCAACATATTGAAGGCCACAAACCTAACATTCTAGAATGTAAATAACATTCATACTTTTGCAGTTAACATCGCAAAATATCTTATAGTTATTTTCGGTTGCCTTACTGTGAAAAGTTGATGAGTGATGCATCTGTAGGCAGCATTTGCAGCGTTTTTCATCACACGAACGACATTCTCCAGAAGTACTTCTATTATCAGACACTTCAGCCCGCACCAGCAGGTTACGCAGACTATTGGGTTGCCTAAAAGCTATCATGGGAGGCTCGGGAAAAATCTTGGATAGTTTGGAATTCTTTTCAACTGTTTTCCAATGCTCACGAATGACACCGAAGCTGTTTTTGAGAGACAACCAAGTCTATATAAAACGTCTGAATATTAGTCAACGATCTTTCCCACGAGGGCGCTGGATCGTTACAAGTAACGATACATGTACACAATAAATAAATTATATAAACGCCTTAAAAGTGTACAAAACAGCACCAATAACAAAAAAGGAAACATTAAATGTAATTATCTATAAATATTTCTGATAACAGATATCCTTCATCAGTATGATTATGATGTAAAATGAATCATATCAATCTATTCTGATTAAACTATAACAATCTTGAAATTTATACAATAAAACAGTTAAAACCGAACGTCATAGAGACGCTTGTACAATTCTTAAATTTCAAAAATGACTTAGGTTATATAGCTATTTACAACAGAGACTGCAAAGATATGCTTCAAATAAAAAGAGTAATGTGTGATATGAATTGATACAATTATTTCACAGGTGACGACAGTTAAGCTGTTACAACAACGATAGCGTGGAAATACATTTCCAATAAACAGCACTGACTGATCTACGCTGGTATGATATTTCAAATTTGACAACAGTAGAGTAGTAACAACAAAGGCTGCGTATTAAAACATCCAAAATAAATAGCAGTTTGATGATTAAAACAATAACAATAAATTTTGGCAAAGGTTAAATAATTTAACGTGACTGCGTACTTGTTCATCCCTCCAAAATGAATAGAACCAAGCAAATTTAAACTGGTATAATTACAAAAAATTAAGGAGTTGACAAAGGTAAAGAAATAGAAACAGAGACTGTGTAGTAATAAGTAATATAACCCAAATGTAAAGAACTGCGCGAATTCGAACTACGTCTTTTCATTTATCCCATTTGGTGCCAAAGTTTTTAATTTTCTTATCCAAAATCTTTCCGGAGTGAGTCTATCCTCCCTAGACCAAGCAGTGTTGTGGTCTATGATTGTAATGGGAGATCTGCCTTAGTGTGTCCAGGGGATCTCAAATGTCGACTGAGAGGGAGGTCTGGCTTGCATTCGTAGTCGCTACGATGGCCGTTCATTCGTTTGTGAAATGGCTGTTCTGACTCGCCAACATACTGTTTACTACATTTACACTGTAGAAGATACACAGCATTTGTAGTCTTGCAATTAAAATTGCAAAATATGGTGTATTCTGTACCTGTGGAGTAACTGTTAAAAGTCTATTCAGTATTTCTAAATTGAAAACAACGTTCAAACCTAAGACTGCGTTGGATAAAAACCGCAATTTTTATACGTGTGCATGCAAAACAAATTTCTTGGTAAAAAGGGTCTAAATACAGCACAAACAACATTTTCCAAAAGACCAAAAAAGTGACAAAGTAAATTTTAACAAAACGCATTTGACTAGCAGGTCGAACAACGGATGTTCTTAAACCCTGCTGACTGCCATTGGCGATTGCCAAATAAAATGATCACCAGATGTAACAAAATGGATCTTAAATATCAATTTAATATCAAACAGAAAACAATAAACTCGCGGAAAAGATGGTATACCGCGAACAAAAGGTGCAAAAATTAGTACACTATATCCGGATTTCGACAATTAATGTCTCTTCAGTGATGTTAGGAATCCAAACGGTATTTGGAAGGCAATATAATTTACCTGAATTTAGGATAGACTCTTGAATTTTAAAGAGTCGAAATAGGATGAACGGATCATATAAACCCGAAGGCTAATATAATACAAGCCCAAACGCAAAAAATATAAACAAGTCTAAATTGAAAACAACGTTCAAACCTATGATTGCGTTGGATAAAAACCGCAATTTTTATACGTGTGCATGCAAAAAAAATTTCTTGGTAAAAAGGGTCTAAATACAGCACAAACAACATTTTCCAAAAGACCAAAAAAGTGACAAAGTATATTTTAACAAAACGCATTTGACTAGCAGGTCGAACAACAGATGTTCTTAAACCCTGCTGACTGCCATTGGCGATTGCCAAATAAAATGATCACCAGATGTAACAAAATGGATCTTAAATATTAATTTAATATCAAACAGAAAACAATAAACTCGCGGAAAAGATGGTATACCGCGAACGAAAGGTGCAAAAATTAGTACACCATATCCGGATTTCGACAATTAATGTCTCTTCAGTGATGTTAGGAATCGAAACGGTATTTGGAAGGCCATATAATTTACCTCAATTTAGGATTGACTCTATATATTTACATAACATCTTCATATATATATATATATACATATATAAAGCAACATGAAAAAGCATGAAAAAAAACCCAGAAATTTAACGAAATATTTGTATTTTTTACGATGATTCAGTTACTGTGGTAATCTGAATTACTACCTTTATATATATATATATATCATAGGTGTATCTGTATTGATCTTTTACATAGACAATAATAGTGTCTTGACTTGACATGTCAACGATATAAGGATGAGGCTTAGAAACGGGGAAATGCGAGGCTCTGCCGAGCTTTTTCCCCGTTTCGGGCCGAATCCTTATATCGTTGATATGTCAAGTCAATACACTATTATTGTCTTTATACTGCAATCTAGAAAAACACATTTTTAATTGTTGTTTGTTGTGTTATTGTTATTTATTTGATATAAATATTGGAAAAAATCCACCATTAAAAAGGCCTCACATTGGCGGAGAAACATACAGCACAATGAAATGTACATTAATCTACCTGTTGAAACCAATCGTTGGTGAACGAATTCGTTTGAGTATGAGTATGGACTAAAATATCAACAATAAGCATAAAACATAATGACATAGGTTTTAAACAAAAAAAATAAACAAGTGAAATATGTTTTTCTAACAATTGTAAAAGAAACAAATTTGAGTCGTTCCACGCTTTGTTGTAAACATTGGAAACAAGGACAGATTGAAGCGCTCGTCATGAATATTTAAATATAGTTTTGAACTATTTGAATATTCATGAGGAAAAGTGATATCGGGTCAGTGACTGTATATGACATAGAAATATACAGTCAACGCATTTTGACTGCTCAAATAGAACGTTTGCAGTATAAAATCAGTTATAAACGCACCATTTCCCTACTCAACTTATTGTTCATGCTTAAAAATGGCTGACCAACTTTTTATTGAATCTTTTCGGTATAGTGAACTTTTACAAGAATACAGGTCCATGCAGTTGGTTCCTATGTATACATTTAAACTCAAAATAAAACAAATTAAAAAAAATGAAAAAAAAATCCTTATTTTCCTAAAGGCGGAAACCTTAAACACGTTATGTTTTTGCATGGCCCACTATCTTTATTGAGAAACAACCTTTCAGTAGTATATGTGTACTGCAAATATATGACTCTTCCCTTTTTCAGGTTCCATCTTGTAAGAATAAGAAGTGTGGTGGAGTATTAAAACCAGATATTGTATTCTATGGAGACTATGTACCGAAAGATCGAGTAGAGTTTGTGTCTAACAAGCTGACAGAGTCAGATAGTCTTCTTGTACTTGGATCATCACTGGAGGTAAGAACGTATCTTGGGGTATAACCAGTATAAATAAGTGTGTAGAGTGATTTATTAACCAAAAGCCAACATATTGTAAATGTGAAAAGCAGACAAGCTGAATACTTATTATTTTGCAGACAAGTAGACAAAGACGTAATCAATTATAATTCACTGTACTACCTTCAACCATGAGCAACTCCTATATCTTGTTATATTAAATCGAGAAATTTAAGCACTTCGGACGCATGAAATTTATAAAGTCCTATTTTCTTTTATTGTTAAGCTCTAAAAGGTCCAGCAGAACAAAATGTGAAATAATTCAAACAAAAGAACCAATGCCTTGATTTATTCTAAAGTAATAACTAGGAAAAAAAAATTTGCTAGACAGCAACCAACAACAACCACTGAATCACAGGATCCTGACTATGGACAGGCACATATAGAATATAGCTGGATTAAACATGCATGTGACCGCTGAATCCCTCATTTTTATGAGATAGTGTTGTAACAGACCAACACCAGAACAGACTGTATAAAAATCAGTTGGAAAGTGTTTGTTTCGTCAAATCTGTATAAAGCGCAAATATCAACTATCAACAAAAAGACAAAAGACATAAAGAAATGTTTACATGTCAACTTTGAGAATCCCATTTTTATTATTATAGCTTATTGTTATAAAAAGTATTAAAAAAGCAAGTCTTACGTATTAGCACACAACATTGTGATTATGAAATAATTCAAGCTGAAATACAATAAGATTGTACTGACTTCAGTCTTTGAATATCAACATATACAGTTTATTTGCTGAAACCGAGTCCAGTACAGTTCATTGGTAAAAAAAAATAAACATTTAAAATGTATTCAGTCATTCTCAGTCAAATAATTTTTACCATATAATTTATATTATCTCAGCTGATATTCTGCTCCCATGTTGAATCTGTAAAAGTTGATTATCCATACACTAAAAAACTGTATCTACAGTAGACCATTCGTGACATCATAAAACTATGAAAATAATATTATATACATGTTCCTGAGACAAGTGGTATACCTGATATACTAGAAATTACATGCTAATCTAATATGTTTATGCTATGTATAGCTAACTTGTATTTTTTTTCTGAAATATTTATCTTATCACTGTAATATCTAAATGACTGCCTTTTTAGATTAAGGTCTCGGTGGCCAAGTGGTCTAAGTAGTCGAACTTCTGTATCACTAGCCTGTCAACACTGAGGTTGTGAGTTAGACTCCAGCACATGGCAGGTGCGCTCGACTCCAATCTTAATTGACTATGACTGTTAGTTTTCCTACCGAAGGTCGGTGGTTTTATCTGGGCACTCCAGCTTCCTCCACCAATAAAAAAATGACCGCCACGAAATAGCACAATAATGATGAAAGTGGCGTTAAAAATCAATCAATCATTTTATGTTTTAAAGGTACCCTCAGCTTACAGATTTGTCGAAGCTGCTTACAAACAGGAGAAACCAATTGGTATTGTTAACATAGGACCAACAAAGGCAGATAAACTGGCCAACATTAAAATAAGCACAAAATGTAGTGAAATTCTGGACAAAATATGATACAGTATATAGATCATGTCATGCTTTTTAGATTATAATATTATTTTTGTTCCATATTGGTGTTGGTAACAATTTTATATACATATAATTAAAAGCTTCACAATGTGTAATGAAATATCCGATCAGGGCTAATGCTTGCTTATACATAATTATGTATTGCCTATATTTTTATAATCTTTAACATTAAAGGAGCATTGTTGTTAAATTCATGTTCACTGATTTGGTCCAAATCCTTATATTTAATTAATAACATACTAAAACGTATATCCAAATTATAAAAAGTCCAAAAGAAACAATTAACAATACACGGACTCGTTATAATGTATCAGCTTTTCGTGAGTATTTTCGACTAGACGCCATCTAATTTTCCATCAAGACATCCTAAGACTGCCGACGGTCATATAACCCGATATAAACATAAATATCAATAGACTGGCATATATGGGGGTCTACTTTTGTTTTATTTCATCGCTTATAATCGTTTTACCTGTATAAGAATGATTCTTTGTTTGCCATATCAGTCAACGAAATGGTTATTCCAGGTGTCTCCCTTGTTTCGTTTTTCATTAATGTTGACATTCTTTTCTTTTTTCTTTTTAATGAATGAACATGCTGACATTGTGCTGAAACACGTGCGCGACCCATCTCCACTAAATGTTTTTCAACTTATTTTGTCGAAATTGAACCAAACTGACTGGTAATAGTGATATATTTTTTTCTATATTCCGCTCTTATAAATGTTTGAAAAAAATTCACATTTTAATTTGTTTTGTCTAATTCGTAGCTAATGCCCCTTTAAGAATATTGGTGAACAATAGCACCTCAGTTAGTTTTGTTTTTAACACCTGAACATAAGATTAAGTTAAAACAAATATTTGTTCTACTTATACATTTTAGATAGAAATTTCATATTATATAGGGAAGACGGAGGTATGATAACAATTATTAATTAGCCCATAACTATGATTGCAAGAACGTTTCTTCAAGCCTTTCAAAATTTTGTTAATTATATTGACAAATTTAAAAGATAATAAAATTTTGGCACTTCAGTCCAGATTTATTTTGTGACGTCATTTTAGTGTTATCTTTCGCCTCTCTTTAAGAACATTTCGCAAATGTTCTAAAAATAGCCATTTGACACATCTACGTTTGTGTAAATTGTGTGATTCAGGTTCGATTGAAGACGAAACACATTAACTTTTCTATTGTGACCGTTATGATCCGTTATACTAATGGACGAAACAAACTGTTACATGAGTTATCATATATTCATTCAGAAAATATTGATGAACTCTCTTCAAACGAAGCCATTTCAGTAATTTTAATGCTAATATCAAACTTGTAGCAAACTTTATTTTATAGAATGCTCCAACGTTAGACTGGACTATCTATAACTGTCTATTGCAAATATCAAAGTTAAGACAATGCACATGTCTGCATTTCAATGTTATAATTTTGAACTCATTTTCTTATATCTGTTATATATAGAGTTAAAAGATGATAGTGCATCAAAGGCGTATTTGTCTGTCTGAATTATTTTGCTAATACTCAATGTACATTATATTGTATATATTCAGGTTGCACTCTAATAAACTGTTTATTCATTCATTCATTCATTCATTCATTCATTCATTCATTCATTCAATCATAAACTTTGAACAAATTTAAAATGAGCAAGGGACTTACAACGCCTCTCCTTAAAAACACAATAAAAAAATTACTCCCCCTCCAAAAAAACCCCAGCAGAATCCCTACATTAACATCTTTCATCTTTCAATAATAGAACTAGTAGCAAATATATCTGTGGATAGGTCTTAGCTCATATTCAATTATGAATGACTAGGTTTCACGGAACTGCTATTTTGACAGTTTTGTTTTCATTATATACTGAAAGTTTGAAGCCTTAATGCAAATATTTAAGATTTGTTGATTGTTAACACCCAGTGGCAAATTTTCAGGCATATTCAAGACAAAAACATATCAGTAGTAAATAGAATAAGGAGGTGCTTGGTCATCGGATAAAGGACAGATATTTCAGCTGCCACTGACAAATGAGGACATGTTATATATTTATTCAGAAAATGCACAACTTGAATACTAGTAAATAGTGAAACAATTAAGCATAACTCTAACACGAGGAAACTGTAATAAAATATATGACATCGTGTGTTTATTTTTCATTATATTGTTTATACAGTATAGGGGATATATATATTTTGATGCAGGAAATGTACTTTTGCATGGTAAATGAACCTTTATCGTAACAAAAATTTGTAACTTAATTTGTTGTTGTTGCAAAGTGTATTTGCAATGTGCTATACATTATCGTTCAGAATCCCGCTTTTCGTCTATATCAAAAGCATTCATGACAAATTTTTTTATAGAAAAATGAAGATGTAAACAAAGCCAGACCTATAATCTCAGTAAACACAGTAACTTTGTCAAAGTTGTACCTTAATCTAGGACAGAAACTTCTTCATGATCAGGAAATAGCATCTGAAGAACATGTTTGATATTCTATTTAAATTCTTTATAGTTAACAAGTAAATTGACTTAGCTTTTGGCAGCCAATATTAAAGTTTTTCACTGACAACAGCAATTATAGGCGAGAAACAATGGTTCGGTGGAATCCTATACGAATACTTACAATTAGCTCATCTGGCCAAAAAAACTTTGCCAGACGTTTGCCTTTAGTTTGCGTCTGTAGTCGTCCTTTATGTGTCGTTATTTTTTTTTTTCAAATATCTTCTCCATCGAAATTACTCAACCAATTCAAACCAAATTATTAGGGGTCTAGGTGATAGATAATGAATTATGACAGCTAGGTCAATCAACTAGCAGGTATTCGCAGCTAACAATAGAAAAAGTGGTAAAATGTAAGTAATTATCTAAGATCCTAACAACCACATAAGAGAGAGAGAGGAAATGCAATTTTCAAAAAAAAAAAAAGATATGTACGAAAAATATCAAATGATTTTTTATAGTTCTTGCGCTTAATGAATTTTTGTTTACTTACTTTAGAATATTTTCTATTGATTTTAAACAATCAATTGATCAACAGAAACTGTAAAAAGCAAAAATGTCCAGTAGAATCATGTGCAAAACAGTGTAGCCGAGACCATTGATTGGCGCGCTAAAATATCCCATTGACTGGGTCAGATTAGGTGAACGTTCGTCTGTAACGCCCACAACTTACGACGAATTTATATAGACATTTAAACTGTGGTGTCACCAAAGGGTCTCAACGCCTAAATAAAATAATTCGAAAAACTAATCAGGAATAACCTTTGTATTTTGATTTATATTGAATACTTAAACGTTCTTTACTTGTGTTTTCGTTATGTTTTGATAATCAATTTTTATGATATCGCACGTTCTTTCAGCAAAAAAAAAGGATTTAACTGGCTTTAAAAGTTAAAATGCATGTGTTGATTATTATCTTTTTTTTCGGACGTCAAGGCGATTTAACAATTGCGGTTGTCCAATTATGTCATCTTTTAACTTTTATCTGGTCAAAATTTTATTTTAGAACGAATGCATGATCAACTTTAAAAAGTGTGCGTACACAAAACATATAGACAAAATATACTTCTGTCCTGTCTTTTTCGTACTTGTAAGTTATTAGACAATAAAAAGGCTATTTGGATCAAGCCTTGTGGAATTTGCATTTACGTTTTTGAATAGGTAAAATCAGAAGTCCATGTCTAGTAATGGACTTCTGGTAAAATGTATAGTTTGGTGAACTTTTCTGCTAACTACTATACTTGTGAAAAACCATTGGCAACAGAAACATATTCAGCTTTTTTTTTGATCGACCCAATTTACATAGTAATGGACGACTTCGTACTTTTATGATCGCAAATAAAATATGTATATAATATACTGTGCACTGTAGTTCGTATATATACTGAGACCCTTTGGCAACCCCACAGTTTAAATGTTTATAATAAATACGTCGTGAGTTGTGGGCGTTACAGACGAACGTTCACCTAATCTGACCCAGTCAATGGGATATTTTAGCGCGCCAATCAATGGTCTCGGCTACACTGTTTTGCTCATGATTCTAATACAATATCTTCAAAAGAGGCGGAAGATACCAAAGGAGTAATCAAACTCATAATTCGACGACAAACTGACAACGCCATGGCAAACACTGAAAAACGACCAAAAGACAAGAAAACTAAAAACTGAGCAACACGCACCCAATGCAACAAAAAACCAGGGTGAGTTCATGCTCTCCGGAAGGGTAAGCAGGTCCTGCTACACATGTGACACCCGTCGTGTTGCTCATGAAAGTACAAATTCGTTGATAAGTCTATTTTGGTGATGTTACATTCAAAACAAGAGGACGTGATTGTGTTTAAGACAACTGGGGAAATATGGGAAAATATTTATGTAAGCATTGGTCGACGTATTTTAGGAGTTAGGTGATAATTTTTACAGAATGGTAGCCTATCATTTTGAAAAATTCGATAGACAAACTGCATACAGCAAACAGTAACAAATATCAGTAATAACAATCTACACAAATGACCATATAACAGAAGTTCTAAATTGACCAATTGAAGCAGTTAAACCTTAAATGCATAAAAAATTATACGCAATATAAGATCTTCTTTAAAGCCTATAATTATTGTTATTTAATTACCCCCTAATAGTGAGTTATTGCCCTTAAATGACTATTTGCTTTCAATTTTTTTGGTAAATGTTCGTACTATCTTTAAAACTATATCAAATACACAGAAACTGTAAACATAAAACATATCAGTAATTAAAGATCTTTAACAATGCCAAATAGCTTAAACCATATATAGACTACGTATAACAACTTACGAGTCAGTGCCCTTATAATAGATAGACAGAAACTGTGTAAGCAAAAATGATCAGCAATACAATGTTTTTAAAAATTGATCGACAATTGTTTTCCCCCCTGATTTTTATGTTATAAGTAATATGCCATATTTTACCAAATAAACAACATCGATTCTCCGAAGCCAGTTATAATAACTAGCAGGATAATTATATTTAACAAGACTGGTTGCAAGGTATGGTGCGATCAAGATGTATGTATGGTAGCCTTGATAGGGTTCATCTGATCTTACCTTCAATTTTAATGGTTTATTGGTCAAACTTATTTTTTGTGATTATGTCTGTTCCTCAAATATTATAAGAAATATGTCTATATTTCGTTCATTAAATGATTTTAAGGTGTGTATAGATATAAGAAGATGTGGTATGAGTGCCAATGAGTCAACTCTCCATCCAAGTCAAAATTTATAAAAGTTAACCATTATAGGTCACAGTACGGTCTTCAACACGGAGCCTTGGCTCACATCGAACAGTAAGCTATAAAAGGCCCCAAAAAATTACTAGTGTAAAACCATTCAAACGGGAAAACCAACGGTCTAATCTATATAAAAAACGAGAAACGAGAAACACTTATGAACCACATCAACAAACGACAACTACTGAACATCAGATTCCTCTCAGTATGTCCATCTGAAAGGATTCATCAGTCCTTCGCCTAATTTTATGGATCGTTGATAATGTTCAGTATGTGTGATACCTGCAGTAAGACAATGATCTTATAGACTTTCTACATAAGTTTACATCAATGTCAAAACAGTTGAGTTATTACAACGTGTGCATTTTTCTTTTTTTTTTTTTTTATGAAAGGGGACATAGTTTTCTCGTTTGAATTGTTTTACATTTGTCATTTCGGGACCTTTTATAGCTTGCTATGCGGTATGGGTTTTAGTCTCAAGATGACCATTCTTGCAGAGGCATATTTTGTGCATACTACAGCTGATATAAAAATAATTCACAAATACGTGTTTAAGTAACAAGAGCACAATTAATTCAAATACATTTTCCATAGGGTACCAGTGGTGTTCCATATTTTATTTCTTGAAGATTAACCAAAATAGATAAGTCGCCTGTAAAAACAATAGGAAGCGGTTAGCGGATACACATCTTTTTAAACCATTGTAATTGCATTTAATTTAGTTTTTCGTATTTCCTGTCTATTTGCATGAACTGTATTAAGAATTTTTCAGTATAAGGATATGGATAGTAATCTGAACATTGCTTATAAACAAACACATCTTGGTGCCAACGTTACTTTTTTGATACAATGCATGCAAATAAAGGAAATACGAAAAACTAATAATATTACAATGATTTAAAAATATACATATCCGCTAACCGAGTCCCTGTGGGTAAAATATAATTCTATTATAAAAATGATTATGACGTATTGCTTTCGCTCTGTTTAAGAACAGATCGGTGTACATAGATATGGCTGTTACAGGTTACCTCCCTTACTAAGGCTTTTTGATGATTTTGGCGGTTTTTTTTTCTCTTATTCTTTGAATTACATATCGGTCATGTCCCACCTGAACTTGGCTCGAGTGGAATGATTTAGAATGAAATTAAACATATTTCTTCTTCTAGTCTAGAATATACAGTGGTGGCCTTCGGCTGTTTTCTGCTCTTTGGTCGGGTTGTTGTCTCTTTGACACATTCCCCATTTCCATTCTCAATTTTAGTGTTTTGAAGTTGTTTAAATTTGACATTGAAAGTGTTTAATATTTGTTATGGCTTTTGTG